ATCTTGATCCAAAAATTTAGATGGAAGTAAAAGAATTAGACAAATATTGGGTGTCCATGAACTCTGTATATTTCAACAGAATTTAGCTTCAAATTTTGCTTTATGCAAATATAAAATATAAAATATGTTTTTAGCATCGATCATGATCAGTAGTAATCTACAATACATGATACGTTTTCACTTCTACTCATCGGTTCTCTACATTGGTTTCTAAGATTTCGTTACTTTAATTCAATTTTTCTGTGATAGGTAAATCGGACCAGTATGGTTAATCATTGTTTACGAGGTAAATCAGCTCTAATTAAGAAAGAAAATTGTAAAATTCTCTCGCACTCTAGCTAAGACATTTAAATTTCTTTGTAATCTTAATTAAGTTGCTTGTGTGTCAAGTATTGTGGAAAAAGTCTTGTACATACATATGGTGTAATTCTTGTTGGCGTGAGTCCCACTCTAATTAGGATTGTAATTATTTAATTATTGTGGAGGGTTAGTACTAGTTAAAAGTGGTTAAATTTAACAAACTGCATGTTTGAGTCGACCTGCATTTTTAGGTACATTAAAGCAATCATGTGCCGTGGTATGGCCAGTTGCTACGTACTTTAACTTTTTGAAGAAGTAACTAACTATATATTGTGTGTTGTTTCCTCCCATTCCATAGAATTTCAGCTAGCTAGCTATCCGTTGATGAATCCCATGTGACCCCCATGAATGTTGTTCTTGACCGCAAAGTCACACTTCTCAACTGAATGCGACACTTGATATACATACATACATACATATATATATATATTTATATCTTGCCTAAATGAGCTTTATCATAATACGTGGGACTCACTGAACTCAAGATTTCAAGTGCAAACGTACATGAGTTCAACCACTTGAAATATGAATCGTTTACGTACTTATTAATGATCTTATAATCAAAATATATTAGTAATAATGCAATTGTTGTACGATCATGTCGATCGAATTGTGGGACTTGGCCCGAGATCATGGCAAGATTGGCTATGGTCAAGCGTAACCTCGTTTCATGAAGACCTTAGGATACAAATACAATAACAAAATATTTAATATAAAAACATTGAGTAGAAATTTGTTATTGTGAACTAAAACTAACGTAATTAGAAACACTAATTACTTTCTTTTTTGTACATCTACTTACTGCTTTTTACTTTTTTCTTCTCATTTACAAGAAATTTTTATGTGCTCTTAAGATACTTGTTATGTGATGTACTATTTCATGTGTGATAATATGAATGAACTTCTCATTTTTAAGTGAAATAATAACATTATATGACGGTGTTCTGAATATACTAAAAATTCTCCCACAATGTAATAGGATAATCGTAACCATCTATTTTAGGGACATAGCTGAAGGATTATGGCACACAAAACTAAACGAAGTTGAAAGTTTAGACATTTCATTAAATACGATGTTAGTTTAAGTGTTTAATCACGTGAAAATACAATGGAAAATGTAGCTAGTATTCTTTGACTTACTTTGTTCCCATGGATCGAGGATTTGACGAGGGCGGAGTGATTTTACAGCAGTAGTACGAGTGGAGGTGGAATATGGGGACAATGATTGTTTGTCCTCCCATTTTAGATGTCTATTCATGTTTTTTTGTTTTGTGTGATCAAATTAAATCATGTTAATATTTTATATAATTTTTTTATAAAGATAATAAAACAAAAATAAATAGTAATATTGAATATTGACGTGATTTAATCGTGATCATATAAACAGAAATGCATAGAGGACACCGAAAATGAGAAGTTAGACAATCTTTGTCCGGAATATGGACCACCATCATGCCATTGCCAATATGTCTGCATTATGGCATTCAAAAGCCGAAGAATTTGGGTGGCTTTTTACGTGGATATGTGTCGATATTGCATCTTGGAAAATCTGCCGTGAGTCATCACGTATCTTAAAATAACGAAAAACTTACAGTACTATTTATTTTAACAAAAAATTATATTTTTACATTAAAAAATCAAATTTGGTACTATTCACTTTACTTTTATTTTTTCTTATCTATAAAACTCAAAGTTTTTAAATCTTTTTCATTAATTTTTTTTAATGTATCCAAATTTACTATTATAACAACAAGTGTGAAAGTTTGAAATTATTAAAATAATTAGAGGATGTGCGAGTTTCAAATCCAAAATGCAAGAGAGAAACTCAACATTCTATTTACTAAAATATTAAATCACATGTAACATTCTTGTTCTATTTATATTATAGCTTGTTATGTACGACATGTTTCGAAAAAAACTGAAAAATTATGTAGGGATTCACTTCGCAGGTAACACTTGCCGCAGTCTTATATGCAATGAAATTGTTGCATTCTTATTTATTGAGAATTGGTGCTTTCTTCTGATTTATTTGTATAATTCTATAAATAATAGTGAACTGTTGTCTGACCTTAAAAAATAACCTCGAACCCATCTTTAGAAGAAATTTTTTTTTGTAAATGAGTAGTTTGAAATACTAAAAACAATTCTCCTATATGTATTTTATGTATATTAAATTTTGGTATCATGACAATTAAATAATTCAGGGTCTCTTTTGAGTTTTCGAAGATAATGCAAAAATAAAGTGTTTTCTTTAAAATTGTTTCACTTCATCTTCACTTAAGAGTGAGACGTCAGATCTTTAACTACTATGAATAGTGAGTTCAATATTGAATTATTATGATTAGCCTATTGTGTAGGATAGCTTCATGCTCAACTCCCCTTAGAGCCTCTCACAAAACTTTCCAAATTTCCTAATATCCTCGTTAATTCTTAAAATTGACAATGTTCTCTTAAAAAAAAAAGTTGGAGCCTTTCATATAGAGAAAATTGTAGCAATGATATTTCAATTAGAACTTTGGCCCCTCAACTAAAAATTTGAGACCATTGGTCCCTTAACTCATTTAAACGTGCAACTATGATCCTCTTTGTAACTTTAGTAGAAAATGAATTATGGTGAAAGTACCATTGCTACAATTATGTCAAAGTTAAGGAATCATTGCTCAAATTGAGTTAAAGTTGAGGGATCATTGTTATAAGTTTTTCATTTTGATTTTTTGTAATTGCCTCTTGATTCAGCCTTACGTGTGTGACACGTTACTCATTTTGACAAAAGTTCTGATAGAGTTGACGAAAAAGACTATAAATGCACGTTTTGACGAGTTAAGAGACCAGTGGTCACAAATTTTTAATTGAAAAGATCATTGCTTTCAATTCAATTAAAATTAAAAGACCATTACTGCAATTTTCTCAATCATAAAACTCAACCAACATTGCTGGCTGACACAAAACTTAAATTTTCTTTTTTCCAAAATCAATGTCATCCATTTACACGCACAAACATTTACAGCATTGGTTTACTCTCTCTGCCAATGCGTTTTGCCAACTACTAACGAACTCTGTGTACTTGCACCAGCAGCAGGAAGCAGTGCATTCAAAAGCCTCTGCTTATGAATATGTTTTCTGAACAAAAATGTCAACTCCTGGTTAGGTTTACATTTATGAGCAAATTTTAATCTTTCGATGTGGCACGAAGGTACAAAAGCTAAATTGGATTGATATCAAATTTTTTGCACCCAAAAATATAAGTATAGTTTTCTCTGTGGTCTAATCATTGACTAACACATGTTTATAAGCTTAATTTTTATTAACTTTGTTGTCATAAACTTAATGTGTGTCAATCAATGACTGTGGGTCATAAAGATGCCACATCTATTTTGGATGCAAAGATTTGAGATATATTGGATTTGGATTGAACAAAATCAATATAGTGATTTCCACAATCCTGTCTTCTTCTTCTTCTGCAATTTTCCATTTGTCATTTGATTCTTCTGGGATGTACTTAGTCCACAACAACAACGAAATCTTATCTCACTAAGCGGGAACGACTGTATGAATCCTAAAACGCCACTGTGCTTAGTTTTACACCAAGTCTTCCATTAGCCCCAAGTACTCCATGTCATTACTTAAACTCTACATTCAAGTCTTCTTAATTCTTCCTCTATTTTCTTTTTTTACCCATTTTACTCTGAGTTTATGTCTCATAATCTCATTTTCTTACCGAAATATTTGTTCCTTGATTCTTCTTTGGTGTACTCAACCCGATGGCAAGAAAAAAAAACAAAACATCTCATAAAAAGAAGCTGGGCAAGTGAGTGATTAAAAGTGTTTATTTGTGCATCTGAGATTCTAAATTCCAATTCACCTCACTTAATATTGCTTGTATTAAAAAGAGCGTGAAGTTGAAATTGAGATCAAATTTTGGCTCTAAACCATTATCTTAATCCCATTTTACCGCTTAGACCCTTCTCAAGCTTCATTAAGTCCCAAGATAAAAGGTGATAGTGCTCAAACACATCCCTTCTCTCCATTTACATGGCAATGAGTTGACAGTAAGGGGCATACAAGTTAAATACATAACCTCCCGCACCTTTATCTACTTCTACTTTTACAACTGATCTAACAAAACCGCCCAACACCAGCCACCCTAAAATCGAAAAAAGAAAGAAAAAAAGACGATTAAATCACAACGATTTTACACACAGCAAGCAGAAGAGCCAACAACCAACTTCCTAAGAGAAGGTAACAATGGCATTTACTTACAAACTTTTACGACATACCCATTCACCGTCGCTGCCCCATCAGACGTAGGCCTGATTTGGTACTGAGATGATTATAAAAAAAACAGGTATCAAAAAAAGCTAGAGCTGTTTTTGTGTTTGGTAAACATTCAACTTCAGCTTTTTTCCATAATTTGAGTGAAAAAAGCCAAAAACAAGAAACTGCAAAACCCAACTTTGAAAAAACGACTTTTTTTTCACATCTGTTCTACATAAAAGTTTACTAAACACTATAATACTGTTTTTTTTTTTTTTTTTCAAAAGCACTTTTACAAAAAAGTTATCAAACACTCTGTTGCTTTATTCCACAGCTGCTTATTCTCACAGCACAGCTGAAGCAGCTTTTTTTTTAAAACACAGCAATACCAAACCAGCTCATATTAGCAGATGTATCTTGAATTCGAAGGCACCAATGTGTACGGATTTGATGGGCTTTCTAAATGCTTATTTCCCTAGTCTTAGAAATCTGATTACTCTCAGTTAAGGGGGAGCTATTCTCCCTGGCATCTGTTACATCACCCTGATGCTGCATGATCTTCTTGAATGGGGTCCATACCATGATTTTCATGAGTTCTTGATGCACGACTATTCAAGAGATAGCGATAAGAAAGGGTACTGAAGGACTCTGTACCATAATGAGATCGAATAGCCGAACAGGACAAGGGTTGCATGAGGCGTTTTATCTCAGGAAACTCGCGCAATGATATTCTACAAACAGGACATGTGGAATGCTGCTGAAGCCATATCTCTATTCAGGTTACATGGAAGGAGTGCTCACAGTAGGGGAGGATCCCAATACATCATCACCATGGTATTCCGCAAGGCAAACAGTGCATCTACAAAATAAAAGAAAAATCAAATTTCATAAGAAAAATGCAAGGATTACGAGATAACATGTTTGAAATTGTTGTAGAGTGCCAAGATTATAGGTCAATATGACAAAATTATTCATTTGATTCTCATTGCTTTTCTCTTTTCCTTTAACCACTAAAGCAACAGAGTTGAGAGAATTTCTGAAACCATGCTATCGAGATACCAGAATAAACGTTTACCGTATAATCTTCATTGGAATATCACTCAAATTGCAAGCTTGACCTCATTAAAGAAACAAACAGCAGGCTTGACTCGGCGACCGAAAAGAGAATCCTTACATATCAGCGGAACATTGAAATGAAGGATTAACTTAATCAGATTAAGGAACCAATAGAGTACAAAAATGGGAAGAGAACTTATTCAGGATAGCAGGATACTGCCTTGGACTCAAAGAACTATTATTTTGGTCGATTTACATTGTCAGGCATTAACAAGGATACTTTTACTGCAGGAGCAGTGCATTTTCCAGATTGTTTAAAACTTGCAAAATAAGGAGAGTTCCAAAAGAACTGGGAAATGTTATATAGCCCTCTAAATGCCTACATTGCATCAGAACGAAAACACTGCACTACTTAAGAACAACAACAAAGCCTTATCCTACTAAGTGGGGTCGATTGTATGAATGTTAGAATGTCATTGTGCTCGGATCTATGCCACGTCTTCCGTTAGATCCAAATTTTTACTCCAAGTCTTTTCTTAGAGTTTCTTTCCAAGTCTTCCTAGTTCTTCCTCTACCCCTTCGGCCTGAACCTCTGTCTCATAATCACATCTTCTAACCAAAGCATTAGTAAGCCTTTGCTTCATATGTCAAACCACCTTAATCGATTTTCTCTCATCTTCCTTCAATCTCGGCTACTCTTACCTACCTCGGATATCCTCATTCCTTACCTCGGATATCCTCATTCCTAATCCTATCCTTTCTCGTGTGCCCAAACATCAACGAAGCATTCTCATCTCTTCTACACTCATTTTATGTACGTGTTAGATGCTTCAACCGCACTATTTAAGAATATATATACAAAGTAATTTGATATCAGAAATCACGAGGGCAACAGCTCTAAGTGTACATGAAGATAGAAATAATTACATTTATCAATTACTTCTTAAAATACTTTTTGGAACACTAAATAAGTAGCCACTGGCTTTTAGAAATATAAGAAAATGATCTATGACCACACATTGAATACAGCCCAAGATGAATCAGAGGCTATACAAGATTGAAGTGGACAGGCACCTAGCGTAAACTTCATTCTTATAATTCACTGACCCTCCAAGCTTGAGGACATATCAACCTCTCTCAAATTATTAAAAAAAAAAAAAAAAAAAAAAAAAAAAAAGAAGTCTTTTTACGAGAAAATTACTCATCAGACATAAATTCTCATTAGATTTTAAACCCATGTATCCCACAGTCCAGAACAAATCTAAATTTCTCCAGGAGAAAAACAGGGTATGTGGCATCTATGCTAAAGACTTAACCAGCCGCATTGGAAAAGAATTAACACCTAGTAGCTCCAACCTTTTGAATTAGAACTAGGAGCAACCAAGAATCTGGTACTTCTTTCTCAATGGACAAAAGACAAATGAACAGAGAAAATGAAAGAGCCAACTTCCATCATCAAATTACACTCTAACCAATATCATTCCACTTGTGTCTTGTACACACAACTGTCCATCAGTCTAACATAGAAAGCTACGGATAAAAGGAACAATGTACCGAGATACATAATTAAATTCTCTCTAATAGGACTAGACAACTAGTTAGCCAAAACTTGGCAATGGACACTTGAACCACATTATTTGAATTCTCATCTGTAAGGCTACTCGAAGAAAAGATTTCGAAGGGTATTACTGGATTTTGTTGCATTGTGGAGTCTATTGAAGACTAAATGGTGAATTATGTAACGGACAAAAAGAGAATAAAAGGGGCGTGCTTCTAAAAAACATTATCATCATTTAGGTATGGAAAGAGGATATCAGTATTATCCAAAGTACTTGATATCTGCAACTCTCAAAGGTCCAAACACTTTACATCCTGGAATTGGTAGATTCTGCAGTATCTCCTAATGAGAAACTTCAGAACGACTAGTGTGGTAACCAGAACAGCATTAAATTTTATCAGCATGAATATTAAAAATTTGTGATCAAAGTACAAATAAAAGATATTTATGGCAAGGAATAGCAGTAAAACGCAGACGTACTAAAAGAGTCTCCTAAGAGTACTGGTCAAATTTCAAAGAAAAGCTGTTTTTTGAGAGAGGGGGGGGGGGGGGGGGGGGGGGGGGGGGGGGGGGTTGTCATTGTGTATGCCTTCATGGTATGTTGTGCTTTGACTTTAAACTACAATCGTTTGAAAATCTTATATTTCTTGATAATTCCTGTCACATGTAATACCCTTCAAGACCCGCTAGATAAATTAGTGCATTCACATACTTCCATACCCCAAAACTCTTACACGGAACATGGCACTACTTGGAAATACTCTTCCAGGGCTCAGAATGTTCGCTACTTGTACTTCTATTCCTAAAACCTTACCAAATGAATCTCCATCTGTAATGGGAACCGATCAATTATTGATTTATGACCCACACACACTCACCAATTACCACCGGAAATCCTTCCCTCTACCCCTTTCCCAGGTCTTTTCAAATTCCAATACTAAACAAATTATAAGACAAATATGGTTGAGAATCCGAACTCCAAATCCTCACTATTACAATTACCTATACCAAATATCATGGAAAATTGGAAATAATGAACTCAAGTTCAGAACAGTGAAAATCATATACCTCGCAAACATTTGCTATTACAATCAATCAAATGAGAAAAACTGCAAACAGAAATTAAAGTGAGGAATAGAAGAATTGAAGAAATAAAACATACTGAGCATCTCTACAGCTGAAAAAAATGCATCACTGTACTTCTTTGTTGGAAAGTTGGCTATTACCACAGGTTCAACGCCATGCAATCCCCGTTCCAGCTGTACACGAATTAAGTGAAGAACCATTTAAATTCATGGTCAAAGATACGTATCCACATAAGCTTGTTTAATAAAAAGAAAGAAAATTTGCATAGGTATAGGCCTGTTTGTATATGTTTTATGTGATACACCAGATAATAAGTCAAGAGATAACAAAGACCGAAAACATATATTAAATGTCTGAATGGTACAACAACTAACTATCAATTCAAAATGATAAACGAAACTCGGAAGTCAGGGAAAAAAAAAGTTGAAGTTGAAAAATAATTGTGCAAAACTAAGAGAAGCTTGGAGCTTTGGTCCCTTGAACTAAAAGTTAGTGAGTATTGGGTCCCTGAACTTGTCACACAAGTTGAGCGATTGTCCTTTTGAGTAAGACCTTTAGAACTTCCATCCAAATAAAGAGATTAAAGGGGAAAATTAAGAAGTTAAAGGACCATTGTTGCACTTTGTGACAAGTTCTTGACCAATACTCGCGTACTTTTAGTTCAGGAACCAAAGCTTGAACTAGACTAAAGCTCGGGGACCATCCCGCCAATTTTTTTTTTTTAAACTAAAGCCAGAACCTTGTTCAATGTAGAAAACGATGAGAATGACGTATTATGAAAAAAACGCACAATAACTAAATAAGAACAGAAGTGAAACCAGTAACAATGACGCAAAGAATTTTTTTTATTCATTTCCAATGGAAAATCCCAGATGCTTTTATCCTAATAAGAGTAAAATCAAAGCTAATACTGATAAACGAACAATCCATTTCAGAAAACAGATCAAAACTAAAGAACTGGAAGGGGAAGAAACATACAATATTGAGATCAGATCCGGATGCTATGGGGAAGGAGCGTCTAGATACAATGAGGTGAATCCGAGCACAGACAAGCCTGGTACACACGAACACTATGAACATGGTGCTTACCGCGAACCCAATCACCGTCATCACCAGGTTTATCCCTGAAGATATCATCACTTTATATATGGGGTTTGTCCAATTTACCCAAATTCACAACCAGCTCAAAAATTACTCATATAAAAATATCAGCACCGCTTAGTCCCTCTCATATACACTGAATTGGGTAGGACATTCCACTGAGGTAGTGAAAATTGTGAGATATGGGTTTTGTACTGCTGTAGTTGCAGCCGGTACTAATGCTGCTGCTTGGGTTGAGCCAATTGTCATGGACAGGACAGCTCAAAGATCAGTTAGGGTGTGGGAGTGGAGAAAGCGGGAGGAGGGAATTGTATTGGTGTTGGAGGGAAGAGGCCAGAGGACCGGATGAGAAAGAAGTCATGGAGGGTTTGAGCAGAGCCAGGACTGAGGAAGCCCATGTGACTAGAATCACCCAAAAAAGGAGGGATATGGTGTACGGAAGGAGGGATTTGCTGCTCAGATCGAAATCAAATCCAGGTTTTGGGAGTTGGATTAAAGCTAGTTTGGTATGAGGAGATTCTAAAATAAGTTAGTATTAAAAAAAGTTGGAAGCTGTTTTTGTGTTTGGTAAACATTCAGCTTCAGCTTTTTTTCACAGTTTTTGTGAAAAAAGCCAAAAACAAGAAGATGCAAAACTCAGCTTTGAAAAACTGTTTTTTTCATCTGTTTTACATAAAAGTTTACCAAACACTATAATACTGTTTTTTTTTCTTCCAAAAGCACTTTTACAAAAAAGTTTACCAAACACTATGTTGCTTTATTTCACAGCTGCTTATTCTCACAACACAGCAAAAATAACTTTTTTTCAAAGTACAGCAATACCAAACCATCCCTAAGATTTGGTACTCACTCCAGTCCCAAACCAGTAATGACTGTACAAATAGAATCTTAAGTGAACATCTTTTTGAGAAGAGATCTTCTCTGAATCTATTCCACCAAGATCGCTTGATTAAGTGATTCGGATCTTTGAAATTTCATCAACGATAAAAAATTTATTACAATTTTTAAAAAGTTAAAATAGATGGACCGTTGAATGAAATTTTAAAGGTTCAGATCACTTGATCTGGTGACCTTGATGGAGGAGATTCGGAGAGAATCTCTTCTCGATCTTCTTAATTACCATACAATGTAGAGAGTATTTTATGGGTAAACTGCATTTAAAAAGAATAAATATCTAACTACAAATAAGTAAGAGTTTCTACTCAAAATTATTTATTGCCGATTTATAATTTTGTGTTTATGATCAATATCGTTTATATTATAAATTACTCCATAAAAATTGTCTTTGTGAAAATAAATTAAAACTTGTATACAAATAGATGAACATAATTGATAAAAATATTACAAACTGC